GTTGGGCATACCCCCTGGGATAGAAGATTTTAATTAATTTTCCAACTTCCGTGCAATAATCTCATTGGTTGAAGCACTACTCAAATCTGGGAGTTTATGGAAGGAATCATGACTTCTACTGGCAGAAGACTCTTATCTGGGTCAGAAAAGTAGCAGTTATTTTTTTCAGTGTTGTAGGGGACTTCTTCTTCTTCTTCTTCTTCTTCTTCTTCTTCTTCTTCTTCTTCTTCTTTTATTGCTCTAGGGTACTCTTGCCATCAGATCATGGCTGGGAAGCACAGCTCCGTGATTTCAGGGCATGAGGTCTCTGTTTCTTTTTCTTTCTTTCGTTCTTTCTTTTCTTTTTTTCTTTTTTCTTTTGGTTTTGGAATCAACTGTAAGAGGCCTATTTGTGGAGGTGATAAGAACATCCTCTACAAATAGGACCCCGGGAGAAGATGGCTCCAACCTATTCGTGGGGAGCTGGACCAGCTGGACCTAGGTCCAGCTGGGTCCAATCTATTGGTGGGGAGCTGCCCCAGCTGGAACCAGGTCCAGCATCCCAATGAAAGCACAGGAGCAAGCTATCAGAAAATGTGACGGATCGGACAGTGGTGGCACCTAAACCGACTCGGAGGTGATGACGAGTGATGGCTGATGGTCCTGCGTGGTCCACACTAAGGTAGGACAGAGGGGGCGGGGGGGCGCTGGAGTAATTGATCAGAGGAAGGGTGGATGGGGGTCTTCTGAGGGGAGTTATAACAACTTATATGAAGAAAAAAAAAAAGAGGGAAAAAAAAAAGGAAAGGAAAACGTGACTGATGAGCAGCATCGATTGCCCTCGTGCGAGTGGATGAACTGCCCATCTCCACCGGAGGGTGGTTAGACCCCCCTACCACTGCCCCAAACCCACTGAGATTAGGGTTCCGCCCCTCCCTGCCACGTGGGTGAACCCTAAGCACATTAGCACTCCACACCCCCTAACCACTGACCGGAACCCGCTGAGATTAGGGTTCCTCTCCCCCGGCCTGCCACGTGGGTGAGCCCTAAGCACATTAGCACTCTGCTACCGCCATGGCATGTGTTATATGTGGAGGTGGAAGAAGAGAGAGGTCAGCCTCCAACCTAGCACACCCCCCTCAAGTCAGATCAAACAAATCTTTTTTTTTTTTTTTTTTTTTTTAATTACAATTGCTCTGAGATCAAACAAATCTATCAGATCGAAGTTCATCAAACAAATCTACCAGATCAAAGCAACTCTACTCAATTCAAAATTCAAAATTCAAATCTGAATCGGATAGGATCAATTCAAAATTCAAATCTGAATCGGATCAGATCAATTCCAAATTCAAATATGAACCGGATCGGATCCATTCAAAATTCAAATCAAGGGGTCTTTGCTGCATTTTGGGGATAAATTGGGGTCTAGGCAAGGTGGGTACCTGATAAGTTAGGGCTTGTTATGCTGGCGGTCGGAATTAACCATTGGAAAATCTAATTAGGATAGTAAATTAGAGGAGAGGCGGGGAAAGTAAATTAGCGGAAAAGCGGGGATTTGGGCTTCAGCCTATTTGTAATTACGAGACGGGGGTTATTTTCTGTCAGTGTTTTGAGATTTTGTCTGACCATCCGTGTCAGACTGTCAGTGCATGTTTCAGGCTGCGGTTGGGGATGGGCTTGGCCAGGAGTGCCTCGCTCATCTCCGGAAGACTGGCATCTATGTGAGGGACGCCGGACCCGATTTCCGGCTTATAATGGAATGGTATCTTAAACCGCCACTACCTTTCACAGGCAAACGCAAAGTCCATCTAGTAGCGTACTTCTTAAAACACGGGGCTCAGGACAGGGTTGGAGGCCGACGAAAAGAAAAGAAAAAAAGAAGAGAAAAAAAGGGAAAATTTTCAAAAAAACAGAGTTTCAAATCCAGGGAAGTCGGGGAAGGCCCTCACGAGGGTGGAAGTTGCAGCAGTGCTTTGAGGATGTATCTGGCCACTATGTGTGGAATGAGTTTGCTTTTTTATTTTGTTTTGCTTTTGTTGCAGTGCCCTGCCAGCCAGGCAGGGCGTATTTCACAGGTGGCATGTAGCTGTCTCGACGCTGTAGCATCCTGTACCCGCCCTCAATCACAGCATAAGGGAGCTTTTTTCTTTTTTCTTTTTTTTTGGATTGTTGGTCCGTACACGCCCTCACTGAGGGCACAGTCACACTAGCACGTCATAGAATGTATCTGGTGGTTATCGAGAGATTCAGGAAGCTCGTTTTCTTGTTTTTCTTCTTTCTTTCTTTCTTTTTTTTTTCTTTTTTTTCTTCTTAGCAAAACAGAAGTGAGTCTGGGGAAAAGCCTGCCAGCATTGATTGCTCTGAATTCAGAGGATCGACTGAGAAGGTACACCTGAGCCACTCGTTTCCTCGCCCGTCACCTTCCATTCTTCCGGATTGTCAAAACGGCTTAAACCACCAGTACCTAGCGGTTGTTAAGGCCCGTGGCTCAGCCTACCGGTATCCCGAACCTTGCCGAGCCTCGAGCTACCAGTAGGTACACATGGGAAGAAAAAAAGAAGACAAAAAAAAAAAAAAATCGACATTCTTCTGCAAAAAAAAAAAAAGAAATTGAAAAACAAAGATATCCGTTTGCACTTTCCATCTTTGGG